TCTTTTATGTGGTACTTAAGCTGTGACTCAGCAGCCTTGAACTCATCTCGCTCTTTCACTACTTTGTCTAGCATAAGTGGGACCAACCAACTATTTTCCTTATACTCCTCATGCTGACAGAATTGCAGAAAAGTATCAAATATGTGATCATCCGGAGCCTCACTTCTCACAAGTATTTGATCTATTGGTGGTGCTATTTTGCATATTAATGTTGCCACCTCATGCCACAAATTATCAGGGCCCTCTTTACTAATGAAGGCAGGGTCACCAGTGCCTTTACAATTAATCAAATTGGAGAACCAATTTAGGAAGCCCATCCTTATGATTTTGTCTCTCTAGAACCACTCTCAGTGCCAAATGTGTTAGGCTGGATTCTCTAGAGAAGCAAAACCAGTAAAGCTTATATATACATATAGACAAATTTATCTTAAGAAAATGGCTCACATACATAGAAGTTGGCAAGTCCCAAGTTCTCGGATCAAACATTAAGCTGGAGGCTTTTCCCGACTCATGCAGCTGCAGGGGCTGACGAGCTCATGGTTGGCAGGCAGTGCTGGCTGGTGACTCCAACGAATGATGAATCCAAGATCTCCAGGCTGAATAGTGGATTGTTCCCTTACGGACAGTTGGAGGCTGCACAACAGGATCCTGATCCACAGAAGAGTGTCTGTTTTCTCAGGATGTCCATAAATATATTGGAAGTAGGCCACACCCCTAGGTGTGAAACTCCCTTTCAATGGATTGGCTGCTCAGAACATATACATCTGATCCCATCATGGGCATAACCCACATCACAATTGCTTAAACCACACAAAATTGTGGTCCAGCCAAGTTGACACACAGCTCCAACTATCACACTCTCTGTTTGGAAGTTTTGTACCCGTAACTTTTATTCCTTCTATTTACTTTATTGGTGGTATCATGTGCAGATTGACGCCTTTGTTTTTTTGTGTGCAGTGTTCAATGAGCTTATTTTGAGCATTTATTTCTGATTTAGTTTTAGTGTTGATGTCACGTGTCCTGATTTTAATTTGTTGTTATCAGTTGTCAGTTCTCTATTGGAAGGACTTCCTTAAGCATTTCTTATAGGGTTGGTCTGATTTTCACAAAATGCTTTAATTTCTGCTTGTCTGACAATGTCTTGATTTCACCCTCATAGTTGGTAGACAATTTGGCTGGATATAGAATTCTTGGTTGGAAGTTCTTTTCCTTCAGTGTTTATATATGCCATACCATTGCCTTCTTGCCTGCATGATTTCTTCTAAGTAATGAGAAGTTAGCCTTATTGCTTAGCCATTGTAGGTGACATTTCTTTTTTCCCGGGCTGCCCATGAGATTCATTGTTTGTCTTTAGTTTTGGACAGTTTGATTATGATATATATGTCTTGGTGACTTTCTCTTGGCTTGTATCCTGTATGAGGTTTGTTGAGCTTCTTAGACAAATACCTTTTCTTCCTTCATGATATTGGGGAAATTTTCTGTTAGCAAGTCTTGTACAGTTTTTTCAGTTTTTTTTTTTTTTTTTTGCCTCTTCTTGTCCTGGTATTCCAAAGAGGTGTATGTTGTTTCTTTTCATGTCATCTCATAAATCTCTTAGGTTCTCTTCATTTCTCTTAAGTTTTGTTCTGATTTTTCTTCATACAGGCTGGTGTCAAGAGATTTATTTTCTAGTTGGGAAATGGGTTCTTCAGCTAGTTCTAACCGGTCCTTTGTGCTTCCACTGTGTTGTGTAATTCTGTAATTTTAGTGTTCATCTTCTGGATTTTTAACTGCTTTTTTTTCTATCAATTCTGATTGTGTTTTCATCTTGTTATTTTGTTCTTGAATGGTTTTCCTGAAGTCTTCCAGGGTACTGTCTATGTTCTCCTTGGTTCTGTTTGTGGTTTCCTTGAGCTCTTGTAGAGTTCTATAAACATATCTTCTAAATTCCTTCTTGGATAATTCTCTTGCTTCTTCTTCCTCCATATTTAATGAGTTTTTAATCTGGAGTTTTATTTCTGTTGTCTTGTTGTGGTTTTTTGTTGTTTGTTTGTTTGACTTGAGGTTGTCTGTTGTTTCCTAGACATTTTGAAGTTGTTGTCTTTAACTTTTAGATATGTATTGATTTGTTTTGCCTTCATTTTATGTTTAAATATATTTGCAAGGGTGGGGCTGGTGTGTTTTATGCTTTTGGTTATTAATTCAGGTGTGCTGGTTTGCTCTGCAGTTTTCTTTGTGTTGATGGAATCACTGTGGGGAATGTGGATACAGGCTCCGTTTGTCATGAAGGGTATTTAGAGTTAGGATGAGCAGGTGTTGTGGTGGACTAATGTGGTTCTTCTATTAGGTGATGCAGGGCAGAAGGGGAAAAAAGAAGAAGAAAAGAAAAAGAAAAAGAAAAAAGGTTCTAGTAGCCAGTCCCCACTTTCTGCATTTCCGTAATTACTGCTGGTTCCAGGGTTTTGTTTTGAGTCTGATTGGGATGGCTACCAATGATGACGTTTTGTTGTCACTCACAGATTCACAGTTCAAAATCAGCAAAGACCCCAATGGTTAGGGGGCTGCTACTTTTCACTTGGGTCAGAAAGCCACAAAAACCCTGTACTCCAGTCCACTCTGTGCTAAAAAGCTGTCATGGAGGAGCTGAATCCCAGCCTTGTGCTGTGAACTCATCCCAGGGCCCACATTCCTGCCATAAGTTTCCTCCCTTCCCCCATCCTGCTCTTAACTCAGCAGCAACCTTAGCCACAGGGGTTTCTGCTCTGTTTCTCAGAAATGTTGTCCATTTACTCAGCTCAGCTTCCAAGGTTACTGTCAGAAGCTGCTGTTGTGGGTAGTCTCAGTCCCCAAAGCTGCCATTGGTTCTCTGGTGTCTCTTTTCTCTTTTTTCCTCCACTGCTTTCTCTGCTGTTGTTAAAAGAGTTTTCCCTGTCTCCGTCTCTCCGTCTTGCCTGTTGCCTGGGCAGGTTTGTTTATTTTTATTTTTCCTAGCTGTTTACCTTGCTGTTTTTTCTTCTTCTTCACTAAATCTGGCCTTCTCTAACTTAATGAACTGTTGACAGCCCCAGAATCCCTGCTTCAAACTGCTGTAGCTAGTTTTTCAGGCATTAAGATGCTACAAGGAACAAACGTGTGGGCTACAGGTAAGATGCCATCTTCAGGAGCCCCCTCTGTGGGGTTTTCAACATAAGTTCTGGTGGTGCAATGGCTAAGGCATTTGGCTGCTAACCAAAAAGTCAGTGGTTCAAAACCACCAGCTGCTCTTTGGAAGAAAAATGAAGCAGTCTGTTTCCATAAAGATTTATAGCCTTGGAAACCCAATGGGAGTTACTGAGTTGGAATCAACTACATGACAGTGAGTTTGGTTTTCGTTTTTGGAGGGTTTTCAATGTCTGATTTTTCAGAAGTGGTCACTAGGCCTTTATTACTCTGGATGCCTCTGGGTGAACTTGCACCTCCAACCATTCAGTTATAGCTGTGTACATTAACTGTTTGTACCTCCCAGGACTTCCAATAATAAAAACAGCTAATGTTTATTCACTGAGCATCTTCTGTGAAACAAGTGCTAGGCATGAAGCCAGGGGGAAGACAGGCAAGGTCTCTTTTTCTCGTGTATCTTACATTGTAGTAGGGGAGGGAGAGGCAATGTGGGAATGAGGTACGTGATAAACATTAAAAACATTATGTTGGTTTATGACAAGTGCTATGCTAACATTAAAGCAGTGTGATATGATAGAGATTGGGTGCTTGCTTTACATTGGATCCTCAGGGGAGCCCTCTGTGCACAGTGGTGCCATTTAGTGTGATGGGGAGGAACAGGTTTAGGGAAGGGCAACCAAGAGATTTAGGTTGGACTGTTTCTCTTGAAATGCTATTCAGTATCCAGATGGAGATGTTAAGTGTTCAGTGAGTATGTACTCAGGAGTTCTAGAAAAGATCAGGGTTGGAGATATGGATTCATGAGTCATTTTCCTCTAAACCAAAAAAAAAAGAAAAAAAACTCAGCTGCCATCTAGTTTATTCTGACTATGGTGACCCCATGTGTGCAGAGTCGAACTGCTCCATAGGATTTTCAAGGCTGTGACCTTTAGGAAGCAGACTGCTAGGCCTGTCTTCCAAGTCACCTCTGGGTGGATTCAAACCACCAGTCTTTTGGTTAATAGTCATTTGTACCACCCAGGGACTCCAGCCAGCCATTTGCCTCTGGGTGACATCTAAAGTCTAGTTCAGATCACCAGGAAGAGTGCAAAGTGAGAGAAATGACCAGGAGGAAGAGATTGTGAAGGAGGAAGAGAAGAGCAGCCAGTGAGTCCCAGGGCAAGGGCAGAGTGTGATTTTAGGAGTGTTCCTCTGTGTCTAATGCTGCTGGATGTCAAAGGAGATGAGAACAGTTAAATGACTGTGAGATTTGACACCATGGAGGTCAATGGTCATATTGTAGTATCTATTGAGTGGTTTAGACAGAGGGTTAAGGAGTTTTGTGAAACAGGAAGTGAAGACAAATTTTCAAAGAAATGTTATTACTTAAAGAAATACAGAAATGGATCCAAAGCTGTGATATTGGTTGTTACCCTGTGACAAGTCTATGCCTGACATTTTACATAAGTGTGCGGTTTCATTTTCACAAAATTCCAGTTTCCATTTTACATTTGGAAAATGAGACAAAATAAACTGCTCAAGATCAAATAGTTAGGTGGTTGTAGAGTTGGAGTTTGAATCCAGGCTTTTCTGACTCCAAGTTCATTAGTATAGTCAACACATTACTCCTCTATGAAGAGATAATTCATTCACATTTTCTGTTCACTAAAATACATATGCTTGAATAAAATATTTATTTGAGGATTTTACAGCAAGATTTTGATATACCATGAACTTTGTAGAGACCTTTAAAATATCCAATAAAACTTACTTCATGTTTTTTTGTTTTCGCCTAGAGAAGTATTAATTATGCACTATTTAATTTCAGTTAAAATGAATTCCTGACAGAAAAAGAGTAGAATTCTGAGCTGAAGCTCAGAATTTTATACATTGTACTGAGAAATAAGAGACCTTCCCACGTGATTGCTAATCCAGTCAAAATAATTGGCTACTTTGGTATAAACGCCTGGGAACTCTGGTTTTCCACAGTTTTCACCCCAACTCACAATGCCCCAAATATAGGCCACATCATTAGCATCCACACAGACTAAGGGGCCTCCAGAGTCCCCTTTACAGGCATCAATGGAGCCATCATTTGTACCTGAGAAAGAAGAAAAAAAGAAAATCACACATTTCCTTCCATTTGTCAAGGATGCCATGTTGTCTTCTAATTGTCTCCTTCAACAATGTATGTAACAACCTACACTTTCTTGCACTTTCCTGACAGAAAATAACATGTGCTCCCTTGCAGGTCCATGTTGGTCCCATGAAGATAAAGAGATGCAAGTTGGGGGATACTTGGTGAATCTCATAATTATTCCCCAAGTTTAGCAAGTGTTCTCTTCCCTCTGCATTATGTAACTCTCTATTATGATGAGACAGCAACCAGAAAGCAGCATCAAAAACTAATAACTGGAATAATACTGATGATCATAGGAATAAATAATGCATATTGAGTGCTTAATATGTATTAGGCATTCATTGTTTCAATCCTCACCACAACCCTGTGAGGTAGGCATTATTATTCCTACTTCACAGATGGAGCAAATAAGGCACAGAGAAGTTAGTTAACTTGTCCAAGTCCACACAGCTAATAAGTGGCAGAGCCTGGCAGAACAACCTCAGAGCTTGTTCTCATAACTGTGATATTACCTCCTGGTAGATTTTGTGGCATTCTGTAATCTGAGTTCCATTTCAAGATGGACAAGATTCAGGAAGTGGTCTGTTTACTTTCTCCTCAATCCTAGGGCTTTCCAAGATGTTTACTTCATTGTAAAAATCTTCACTTCCAAGAAGTGATAGGATGGTAATAATTGCCTTCTTCAGTAATACACTATTTAGCAGTGTTTTCAAGCAGCCATCCTAAAAGCACCACTTTAGCTGATTGGTACCCTTCCTTTAGATCACCACCAACAGTAGGAACTGCTATAGTTCTGTTAGTGGCATTAGCATTATTATGATATAAAAAGAAACAGTGGCAGATACCTTAAGAGTTACAATGTGATTTCCAAGGAGAAGAATTTACTTCCAACTGGAGGCATTTGAGATGGGATGATTTGGATTTAGAAACTCTGGTTGCGTTGTTGTTGTTGTTGTTGTTATTTGCCGTCGTGCCTGTTAACTAGAAGGCTAGCGGTTCAAACCCACCAGCCAGTCTTTGGAAGGACGGCTGGGCAATCTGCTTCTGTAGTGATACTGCCTCAGAAACCCAAGGAGGGGTTGCTATGAGTCGGATCTGACTCGATGGCAGTGTGTTTGGTTTGGTTAATTTGGACTTTTCCTCTAAGAAGTTTTGATTTTGATCAAGAATTAGACACTTCTTGTCTGTAAGTCGGGGCAAAATACATAATTGCCCTGAACTTCAGTTTCCTCATCTATTGATCTCTAATTTTGTTTTTTAAAAAAGAAAGAAATAAATAAAAAAGAAACTTGCTCAACAGTGCATGACTAGTAATTGGTGAAAACTAGGGTACAAACCCATGCATTCTGGTTCCAGAGTCTGTGCTCTTTATTGCCTTCTTGTATTGGTACATAACAGCTTAAGAAAAGTTTTTCCTATCTGCATTATAATGAGGGAGTTTAAGCCTGAGGGGCAGGGACTGCAAGAGTTTGGTGATGCAACAAACAGAATGGTCCAGGGCTTAGGTGCACTGAAGCAGCAGGGAGGAGGAGAAATTGCTGGTGAGTATAGTGGCTAAGGCACTTGACTGCTAACCAGAAGGCTGGTGGTTCAAACCCACCAGCCACTCCTCGGAAGGAAGATGGGGCAATCTACTTCCGTAGTGATACTGCCTCGGAAACCCAAGGAGGGGTCGCTATGAGTCGGGTCTGACTCTACGGCACATAACAACAACAACAACAACATACATATCTCAGATAAACCATTAAGTAACTTACCTGCACATTCCATTAGTTTTTCATAGTAGCGATTGGAGTAATAGTTAGAGCAGTTGCCTATTAAGTTAACTTCACCCCACTTAAGTGAATAGACTTTTTTGTTACCTAAACAAAGTGAGAAAACAAATAGACATTTAGAAGTTATAAGTGAGAAATCAAAATAAATACTCTCATAATTTAGAAAACCATTAGGAACACATATGTGCTTTTCTCTTTTGTTGTGATTTGGTTGAAAGTTTACAAAGCAAATTCTTTTTCCGTTCAACAGTTCATGCACATTTTGTTTCATGATATTGATTGCAGTCGCCATAGAGTTAGAGCCCTCTTCCTATTTCTGCTCTGTGAGTACGTTTTCCTTGTGTTTTTTCCTATGTATTCTTGTTCTCTGAGCTTTCTTCTGGCACAAATACTGCTCTTCTTATCTCCCATGGCCGATTGTTCTAAGAAGTACACAAAAAAGGAAAAAAAAAAAAACCAAACCCACTGCCATCAAGTCGATTCCAACTCATAGTGACCCCCATTTGGGTTTCCAAGGCGGAAAATTCTTTACAAAAGTAGATTGCCCAGTCTTGCTTCCGTGGAGTGACTGGTGAGTTTGAACCACTAGCCTTCTGGTTAGCAGTCAGATGCCTTAGGCACTGTGCCTAAGTCACTCATAGTGACTGTGGGGTCACTATGAGTCGGAATCGACTTGATAGCAGGGAGTTTGGTTTGAGCTCTATTATGTATATGGACATTCTTATAGCACATGCAAATAGGTATGTAGAAATATCATCTGCCAAACCTATATATAGTCTTGGGTATATTCCCTTTAGCCTACTCATACCTGAGCATTCAGCCTGTCTACCTATGTATCCACCTGTAGATTAATGTTTGTCATTACTGATAATGCAGTATTATGTATGTAAAAGTATTTAGCTTTGTTGTTTGTAGTACACTTATTTTTCCTTAATGTTATTGTGCTGGTTACTCGCATTTGGTGTATTGCCTTTCCCTTCACCCAAATCAGTACATGTCTCTTTACCTATCCAATAATTTTCCTTCCCTCACCTCCCATCCCTGTTAATCGACAAGGACGTTTTCCTTTAGTGTGTAAACCTTTCCTTGACTTTTTACAATAGTGGAATCATACAATATTTGTCCGTCTGTGATTGACTTAGGAGCTCTGGTAGTTTAGTGCCTAAAGCATTTGACTCCTAACCGGAAGGTTGGAGGTTCAAACCCACCAGACACTCCTTGGAAGGAAAATTGGGCAATTTACTTCCGAAGAGATACTGCCTTGGAAACCCAAAGAGGGGTCGCTATGCATCAGAACTGACTTGATGGCAGTAAGTTTGGTTTCTTTTGTGACTGACTCATTTCATAATTTCATATTCACTCATCTTAATGTTCCCCAATCTCTGGTAGCATAGTGCCTAAAGCACTTGACTGCTAACCAGAAGACTGCTAAACCCACCAGCCGCTCCTTGGAAGGAAGGTTGGGCAATCTACTTCCATAGTGATACTGCCTCGGAAACCCAAGGAGGGGTCGCTATAAGTTGGGGCTGACTCAACGGCACGTAACAGCAACAACAACGTTCTCCAAGTTAATCCATGTTCTGAGGTGATTCACGGGTTCGTCATTATTCTTTAGTGTTGCATAGTATTCCATTGTGTATATGTACCATAGTTCGGTTATGCATTCATCCGTTGATGAGCACTTGAGTTGTTCCCATCTCTTTGCTATTGTGAATAGTGCTGCAGTGAACATGGGTGTGTGTATATCTATTTGTGTCCTGGCTCTCAGTTCTTTAGGATCTATACCTGGTAGTGGAATTGCTGGATCAAATGGTATTTCTGTTTCCAACTTTTTAAGGAAGTGTCATACCATTTTCCACAGTGGTTGTACAATTCAATCCCATAAGCAGCGTATGAGATTTCTGATCTCTCCACACCCTCACCAGCATTTGTTGTTTTCTGTCTTGTTGAATTTTGTGATTTTGCTGGGGTGAGATGATATCTCATTGTTGTTTTGATATGCATGTCTCGAATGGCTAATGATTGCAAGATTTCTTTATGTGTTTGTTGGCCTCCTGAAAATCTTCTTTAGTGAAGTGTCTGTTCATGTCTTCTGCCCATTTTTTAATTGGATTGCTTGTCTTTTTGATGTTGAGGTGTTATAATTTTCCATAAATTTTAGAGATAAGTCCCTTGTTGGATATGTCATTGCTGAATATTTTCTTCCAATCTGTAAGTTCTCTTTTTACTCTTCTGGAGAAGTCTTTTGATATCCATAACAATTTAATTTTTAGAAGGTCCCAGTCATCTAGTATATCTTCTGCTGTTTGTGCATTTTTACTTACACTTGATAGTCTGTGTAGGCCATATATTAGGCCTTTAGATTTGTCCCTGTTTTCTCTTTGATGAACCTTATAGTTTTAGGTTTTACAGTTAAGTCTTTGATCCATCTGGAGTTAGTTTTTGTGTATGATGTGAGGTATGGATCTTGTTTCATTTTTCTGCAAATGGATATCCAGTTTTGCCAACACCATTTGTTAAAGAGACCATCTTTTCCCCATTCACTGGGTTTTGGCCCTTTGTCAAAGATCAGCTGTCCACAGGTAGACGGATCTATTTCTGAATTCTCAGTTTTGTTCCACTGGTCAATGTGTCTGTCACTGTACCAATACCAGGCTATTTTGACTACCATGGCTGTATAGTAGGTTTTGAGATCTGGGAGTGTGAGACCTTCTGCTTTTCAGTAGTGCTCCAAGGTCTCTTTCCTTTCAATATAAAATTAGTGATTGGTTTTTCCAGGTCCTTAAAGAATACTGGTGGAATCTGCACTGGGATTGCATTGAATCTAAAGATTGCTTTAGGTAGTATTGGAATTTTCACAGTGTTCAGTCTTCCTGTTCATGAGCATGGTATGTTCCTGCATTTATGTAGGTCTTTTAAGTTTCTGCAGTAGTGTTTTTTGTGTGTGCCCCTGCTAACATTTGTTCCTAAGTATTTTACCTTCTTGGTAGCTGTTATAAATGGTATTGTTTTCCTTATTTCCTTTTCAGAGAGATATCTTTGTCGATGTAGAGGAATCCATTTGATTTTTGTATGTTGATCTTATATCCTACCCCTACACTGAATCTTTCAATTAATTTCAGTAGTTTTCTTGCTCAGTTTCTGGGATTTTCTATATGTAGAATCATATCATCTGAAAATAGGGATGGTTTTATTTTTTTCATACCAATTTACATGGCTTTTATTTCCCTTTCTTGCCTTTTGCCTTGGCTAGGATTTTGAATACAATGTTGATAGAGGACATCCTTATCTGGTTCCTGTTTGTAAGAGAATGATTTCAATCTTTCTCCACTGAGAATAGTGTTGGATGTTGGTTTTGAGTACATGCCCTTTGATAATATTGAGGACTTCCTCTTCTATTCCTGTTTTTCTGAGATTTTTAAAAATCAGGAATGGGTGGTGGATTTTATTAGATATCTTTTCTACGTCAATTTATAGCATCATGTGGTTCTTTTCCTTTATCTTACTTATTTGATAGATTACATTGATTCTTTTTCTAATGTTGAGCCACTGTTGCATACCTGGTATGAATTCCACTTAGTCATGATCTGTTGTTTTTTTAATATATTGTTGGAGTCTGTTTGCTACCATTTGAAGATGTTTGCATCTATATTCATGAATGTTGTTTGTTTGTAGTTTTGCATTCTGGCGTCTTTGCGTGGTATTGTATCAAGGTTGTGCTTGCTTCATAAAATGAAATTGGGAGAATTTCATCCTTTTCTGTGTTCTGGAATAGTTTGAGTAGGAACAGTATCAGCTCCTTGAATGTTTGGTAGAATTCTCTAGTGAAGCTGTATGGGCCAGGACATTATTTTTGTTGGTATTTTTTTTTATGAGCTGTTCAATTTCTTTTGTTAGGTGTCTGTTCAAATTCTCTACCTCAGTTTGTGTTAGTTCGGATAAGTAGTATGTTTCTAGAAATCAGTTAATTTCTTTTAGGTTTTCAAATTTATTAGAGTACAGTCCTTGACAGTATCTTGTTATTTCAGTTGGTTCTGTTGTGATGCTACCCATTTCATTTCTTATTTTTGTTATCTGCATCTTCTCCTTTAACTTTGTTAAATTTGCCAGTGGTTTGTTGATTTTATTAATCTTTTCAAACAACTAACTTATAGTCTTTATTATTTTTTTTCCTATTGTTTTTCTATTTTCTGTTTCATTTATTCTGCTCTATCTTTATTGTTTGTTTTCTTCTGGTGGCTGTAGGCTTTTATTTCCTGATCTTTTTGTAAATGTTGAAGATGTTGGGTTAAGGTGTTACTTTTGGCTTTCTTCTCTTTGAATTGTGCATTTATTGAATAAATTGCCCTCTGATCACTGCTTTTGCTGTCCCAAAGATTTTGGTATATTGTGTTTTCATTCTCATTTTATTCAAGTAATTTTTTGTTTCTTCTATTACTCAGTAGTTTTTAAAGAGGGTGCTATTCTGTTTCCATGTGTTTGCTTCTTTTCCCCCTTGATCTTCCTATTATTGGTTTCTAATTTTATAGCATTGTGATCTGAGAAGATTCTTTGCAGTACTTCAGTGTTTTTGTATTTATTGAGGCTTGCTTTGTGGCCTTTGCTTTATTCTGGAGAATGTACAAGAATGTATATTTGTGCTGTTGTTGGCTGAAATGTTTGTATAGATCTATAAAATCAACTTGGTTGATTATATTGTTTAGTTCTTCTGTGTCTTTGTTGAGTTTCTTTGTAGTTGTTCTATCCTTCATTGAAAGTGATATATTAAAGTCTCCTACTATTACTGTGGGATCATCTATTTCTCTTTCAAATTCTGGTAAAGTCTGATTAATGTATTTTGGGGCACTTTCATTGGGTGTATAGATATTTATTATGTTTATGTCCTTTTGTTTGATTGATCCATCAAACATATAATGTCCTTCCATGTTTGTTATAAAAAGAGCTCTGGTGGCACAGTACCTAAGGCATTTGTCTGCTAATGCAAAGTTTGCAGTTCAAATGCACCAGCTGCTCCACACAAAGAAGATGTGGCAATTTACTTCCATAAAAATTTACAGCCCTGGAAACCCAGTGGAGATCGCTATGAG